GGGGGGGGGGGGGGGGGGGGGGCAGGCCAAGCCCGTGGGGAACGAACGAATTTGCTTTCGCGACAGGGACGGAGCACTCATTCGCTTCGGAAGAACGTTCAAACTTTTTCTTTTCGCTTGGATGCGCACAGCGACTGCGGCGACGACGGTGCACCACGCCATGTTGTTGGTGTGGCCCGGCAGGGTAGAAAACACAGCGGTTAGGTTTGAAGGTTTTTGTTGTGCGCGAGTTTCTTCACTTCTAAAAAGTTTGTGATCGATCCTTTAGCATATCCTACGTATGTGCGAAGTGTTGGTTGCTTTTGGCAAGGTTCTCCGGAGCGATGAAGTTTCTCTCTCTGTCGATTTTTTTCCTCAGTGACGTCTGCTTGAGGCTACTTGTGTTTTGTCGTAGCGACGTAGCGACGTACGGACTGCTGTGCCGATGCAGTGCTGTCACTGCTTGGACTGCTCTTGGTTATGACACGGTGCTGGCTTGGCGACCGTAACAGCAGTGTTTTTCTCGCAGTCGTACGCATACGGGTGGTTGTCTCCAAAAGCTGTTTCGTTTGGTCAGCTTTAGGCCCGACGATGTTGTCTTGCTCATACATGTACAATTTTGTTTTTGTTCTCCATTCGTGGGCATTAGCACCATCATGGAGCACACTCCACAGCAATTTCTTTTTTTTCTTTCGTCCCGTTGCTTTGTGGTAGATATCGTTGCCGTGATACACACCTGAATGCTGGCGACGGACGCTGGATTGGGTATCGTTTTCGCGTGATGAAGGCGAACGGATTCATGGAGATCCCCGGAAGCAAACTAAATCAAATATCTTGCCACGAATAAATGCGTGCACAGAACAACACACCATACGAGGTGTTCTCAACAAGAAAAGTATTAAATGGAGTCGTGCCTTTTGTAACCTCCTGTTTCGGCTACCCTGGGAGAGGTTATTTCCTCTGCCGGTCAAAACAGCTACTTCAAGCAAGCGCACATCACCAAGTAGAAGCAGGGTCTTGTGTGGGTGGGATTCAACTTGTTCAGTTCCGTGAACATCGAGCCCTCCTGTCAATATCTTTAGACAAGTTGTCGAGTGCAGCCCCCGGTTCTGAAATGGTCTAACATCGTCAACCTCCTTTTAAGTAACAAGTTGGAGTTCGATTCCCTCTGTGGGGTGCAAAAAGCGCTCTCTCTGTAGTTTCGGTGGAAAACGACGAATGAATTCTGTCGTGAGTTGAAGCAAATCGACTTCTTTACGAGGGAAAGGGAAGACTGATTGAACGTTTCTCATGACAAAAACCAAAAAGGCAATCACCGCAAAAGGGACACAATGAGAGAATCTCTTGGAGGACCAACACGGTTGCCCGAGGCAGGCCGCGTTCCCAATCCCTGCCGAACGTTAGCGTCTGACCCGCAAAGACCGAACTAACACCTGAGGCGATCACGAGTTACAACCAACAACAGCTCTGTCACACCGTCAAAACTGCTGTCGCATGTGTTGCGTGGGCGTTGACGTCCGCATCATACAGTACGCCGTCAAAACACAAAAAAACGGCAAGGCGACTTGCTCAAAATGTAAGGATGCAAAAAGGTCCAACCCACAACTTTCATCACTCGTATCACAGCATCGACGTGGAAATACCTCTCGTTCAGATCCCTTCAGCACAATGAAACAAAACAAAGCACAAATAGATGGCAAGCAGCAGCAGCCGTGTGAATTAACGTCGCGTGGGCCAGACGCACCGGCAGCGTGTCGGAAGGAGGGTTGCTCGCCCTTGAGCATCTTCCTCTGCTGCTGCTATTCTGTAGACAGCATACACACAGATGCTGCTACTCCGTAGACAACACACACATGCTGCTATTCTGTAGACAACATACCCAGATATGCTGCTATTCCGTAGACAGCATTATTGCTACGGTTACCGCAGAGAGCATACACACATTTACATGCCCAAGGCTAAATGTCGTCTGTCGCAATCAGCGACTCCCCTTCCGCGGCAACCGCAGCCCTGGCGTCGTCTCCTTCCGCCCATCTAGCGTAGTCCCTCTTCAAGAAATTCGTAAACTGCGGCGTCACGCGGCAAGCCAGCGACATGTGAGGGAGTGAATTCAACGGTGAACGATGCTTGTGGGCGGACAGCTTCAATAGTTGTCGGAAGCGCAGCGATTAAGGTTGGCTCCAGGGCCTTGAATAGTACTTCTACCAGAAAGAGATAGGTTGACTCCAGGACCTCGTGTGGTCTAGTACTAGGGAGAGGTCGAAGAGAGGGTGATTCCCTGCCGGGGTCCCCGTCGTGCTGTAACCCAGAGAGTCCCAGCAGGTTGGTGTGAAGTGCCGGGTATCCCAACAGGTCATCGCAAACCAGAGCAGGCTCGTGCGGTCCGCCACCCCGCCGTAACTCTGCTGTTTCATGTCTGTATGATGGGGAGCAGTTTGCGCGCGAGCCTCTGCAACAGTCTCACCCCCCGAGCAGACCTCAGACTTCATTAGAATATTCCACCACTTCCACGTGCGACATCGCAGTGCTGGGTACGCGACATGCGTCGAAACAAAGCTAGCAAGGTACCCGACACGCCAACAACAACAACAACAACAACAACAACAACAACAACATCGAAAAGCGGTAGCTCGGCCCTCAAAACAGAACACCACCGACGACGATTATTCACCTGGGGTAGGCCGATGTCCACAACTCGCTGCATCACGAAGTTTCCCGCCCGTCGCAGCACGCCCACGGGTACAAAGTTTTCGTTCGGGACGAGCAGCTCAATCTCGATGTTCGACGACGCGCGGAGTTCCATGATGTTGGCGTCCCCCGGAGTGCCCTCTTTCTTTGCGCAAGACACCACCGTGCTTGATGAAACTGCGAGCAAAACAACGTTGTCGGGTCAACAACGGCCGACTGCTTGTGCGTACGTGCTTGTCCACGAACTCATGCGAAAAAAATTGTCTCTGTGTCTGTCTCTGTCTCTGTCTGTCTGTCTCTCCTCTCTGTCTCTCTGTCTCTCTGTCTCTCTGTCTCTCTGTCTCTCTGTCTCTCTCTGCCTCTCTCTGTCTCTCTCTCTCTCTCTCTCTCTCTCTCTCTCTCTCTCTCTCTCTC